CATTAAGTTTTCCAGTTACTTGTGTGCGCATGTGTGAATGTTAATAAAACAGAAAGATTGTATCGGCTGTCATGTAATTAACGCCAGCGAGCGATGCCACCGCTTGCATATAAACAAACGTTTTTATTTAAATTTAAAACAATTTTCTAGCGACATGTTCTTTGCCTTAGGCTGCCACATAAATAAGTAGCGAGGTACAACCGCGTGAAAACTAGTTGCTTCGGGTATATTCGAGAGTTTTTCATATAAATCTTCAGTCACACCAACTGACGGAAGGAAATTATTCAAAATTAAATTCTACAAATTTTTCTTTTATTTTTATTTATTTTTTAAGAGTTGTGAGGGGATTGTGGTACTTCCTTTATAATATTCACCCGATTTTACTAAGTTAGTAAGACCGTCTTTAATTAGTTTGCCAAATATGAGCGCAATCTGTCAACCAATTTGTTTCCACCAGCTGCTTAAGTCGGTACACCTCAGTACTGCGTTGCGATTTCTACAATAGATAAAAATATCGAACAAAGAATTTGCTGAAATTTTGTATTTCTAACCAAATTTCGTGTGCGGCGGAATCGTTGCGAATGATGGAAAAGACTTGCATGAATTCAGTTTTATTAAAAACACAATTCAAAGTTACAAAGCTTTCACAGACGGTCGAGAGATGGTTGAAGACAAGTCTCGTTCTGGACGACCTCAAGTGATGAAAATATGAAAAAATTGAAGGATATGGTGCTTGAAAATCCTAAGGCATCAGAGATGGCAAGGGAGCTCACCATCGCTCCCGAAGCCTTTCCAATGATTTTGGTGGATATCTTGGATATAAATTGTGACTGAATTTAAAGCCATAAACGCAATGAATACCATCGATCAACCACCGTACTCACCAGATTTGGCCCCGTGTTTTTTTTTACTTGTTCCCAAACTGAAATTACCGCTCCGTTAAGCCCGTTTTCAGTCTATCGAAGAGAGAAAACAGAGTTCGCTGTCAATCTGGTTTCTAACTGTTTTCAAACTTCTGAAGCTTCTAGAAATGTATTTTGAAGACATATTGCAGCTTATTCGGTGATATCTACGAATATTCAATCGTAGGCAAGACCTTACCTTTCCCAAGAAATACTACTTGATTTTTATAAACCAGAGGTCTGTTTATAGAAGTGTGCAAATATAGTATTCGTTGGAAGCGAAAATAAAATAATGAATTTGTCAAATATAAATGTTTTTGTTAGAATTTCTTATAGTTATAAACATACATCGATTTTGGTACGTGCCTAGCATGGCCAAAACATTAACCAAGAAGTGTGGAGTCAATTCATAAGAAATGTTGAGATCCTCTGCTGTCTTTCGTATGCCAGCATGATAATTTTCCAAAACTGTTTCTTTAACTTATGTCATCCTAACATCCCATTTCTCGAGGACCAAGTTTCCATGACTTTTATTCTTTTTGTCCGTAATCGAAAATTTTTTTTTAGGAATTAGAAATGTGAAATATCAAGCAAACTATACAAGAACATAAGAATGAACTAATCGGATTCTCACAGATGGTATAAAGAATATGGTAAACTTATTATTTCATAAACATTATTTCTTTCCACCCAATCTTCAGGTGGTTAGTTTAATGAACTACTCAGCAGTGTAAATTTCATTCAAAAGGTGTTTTGAAAATTGGAGAAAAATACTTAAAATACTATAGAGACAAACACATATGTACATACATATGTATATTTACTATAACCGTATTGATTTGCATTGTACATAAAATGGCAAACTTTTGCATTTTAAGCGAACAGAAATGCATGAAAAATATCATGATAATATTTGTCAGCTTCATGGTCAAAGGACGGCACATCACTACTAACGACTTGTAATTTCAATCTAATATAATAAAAGTTGTTTTGATTATATAACCATATGATTACTTTTCAAATTAAACAAAATACAATTGTCAAGCAGCTAATTGAAATTTAAATACGAAATCGTGAAGTGGCACGGAGATGTGACGCGCAACAAGCTTATGAACTTTAGTACAGCCTCAATGTGTTTACTCACGATATTACGACAAACATGAATGGCGGCTGTGATAAAACAAAAAAATTCAAGATTGATATATGGATGTGTTAACAGATTTTAACTTGAAGCCGCAATTTGTTTACGAAATTATTACGACTTAATTTCTTGTAAAGTCCTAAAGTGGCAGCAATAGGCGACTATTCGCGGCCGTTTTTGCTGCTCAGTGGCGCAACTATCTAACGCTTTTGAGTTGAGGGGAATAGCTGGCGCTTTGCGTTCATTTACAAAACTAACTATAGTCATAAGTAATTATTTTATGGATTTATGATTCGTCATAAAATTTGGCTAATGGATTTAAAAATTACATTTGCTTTCGAAATTGTGATCGTTATTGACAAAACGCGGTAGTAAAAAGCCAAATATACTAATTATTTTTATGAAGTTTGTGTGCTTAAACTAAGCTGTGAAAACAGCTGCTCACACCCACACACCCAAACTAATTGATTTTTACGTTTACTTTATTTATTACTACAATCGGTGAAATAAATGTTGAAATATGCTAAACTGGTAGTCATGGCTAAGTTTTCATTAGAACATATATTTAAGAAAATATTTCCAGAATAAAATAAAGCAAGAAAGAACCTTTGTAGCACCAAGGTAAGGAGAAGAACTTCAATAGAAGTTTAAAAAGACCAAAAAAGTGGAGAAGCTACTCCTGTTCATGATGTATCAGAAGCATTTTGAAACAAATCGTTATTAACTCAATCAATGGGAGAAGATGAAAAGGACCTATTTCGTAACAATTGATCTTACGCTAACCGATACGTTCTCTACATATTTCACTAGAATATTCACATATTTATCTGAGATATAGAATTCAATTTTGTCCATTTTGGAAACCAAATCTATGATAAGAACATAAACCTTCATATGACATTAAAGGAGAAATTAAATATAATGGCAATCGGCAGGTTGAAGATAACCGCTGTACTTAGTTTATTTCTTTAGCAAAGTCATTCGCCATAGACATGAACAGTTTGTAATCACTTGATGCCAGATCCAAAACATAAAAACAAGCCAACCAAGCTGCCGGCACTACTGGCGAGCCTTTGTTGATGTGTGTGGCCTGACGTTGTACTGCTGAAACACAATTTCGCTCCTATTAGCCGAAGCTGGCCACTTATTGCTTACTTCAGATGGTCCATTTTGTAACAGAAAAGTTCCGAATTAGAAGTTTGGCCATAAGAGATGAGCAAATAGGAAATGATTCCCTGGCAATCTCACCAAACACAAATTAAAACCTTTCTCTTGTTTTTCCCAAGGCGTTGTCGTCATTGTCCCACTCTTCGTTCAGCATCGTTGCGCGGATGAAAACTCGGAGATTTTTGGGTTAACTCGTGTTGAATCCATACCTCGAGCTTATTTTTGAGCTCATTTTTATGTGCCACTTTATTTAAATGCATGCAAACAGTTTTTTGTATCATGGTGTTAGCTCCTGAGCTCTCGAAACAGCGCAAGATTTATCGATATTTACGACAGGTGGTATTCCAGATCGCGGAGTATCTTTGATTTCAAAATTCAAAAGCCGAAAAATTATTTATTTTTATTTTTTTTTCCTTTCATTGGGGGTGTTTTTTACGTGGCGGGTCCCAAACCCAGCGCACAACCCTATGTAGGGAATATTTCGCCTTCTCACTTTAGCTCGCCTTCGAACGGATGTTCTTAGGCTACCCAGAGGATACTTGGTCAAAGACCGGAAGTCGTGAGCTGCTTGAGTCATATGTAAAAGAATCGTTTCTGGCCATTCCCAAGTGAATGGCGATCAGAGACTTTCCTCACTGGCGTGAACTTCTACACATGACCCCATCCTCCAGAAAGGAAAGCCGAAAAAACTCGAATTTTCCAGATTTTTTCTGAGAAAACTTTTAAATTTATTGGTACAAAAATTTGTACACATATTACTGTATCTTTTATATGTATTTTCAGACTTAGTATAAGTAAAAATATATATCTGAAAAGGAACTACAGCTGATCTTAGGGAACTTCTCTCCAAAAAAACTATATCTCTGAAGTAAATACTCTGAAATTAAAAAATCAAACAAATTTCGTAAAATTAATATTAACTCTAGTAAAACAAATCAAAGGAATAAGCAAAATAGAACTTTTTGACAAAATGGCGGTTTCTAGAAAATAAGATTATTGGCCAAAATTTCGGACTTAAAAAAAATATTTGTTGATAAACAATTTTATACTAAATATCAAAAAATATGTTTAAAAGTCTCATTTTCGAGTAATGTTGGTCACCGACCTTAAAACTTGAGAAAAATGTGTTCAAAGTTTGAAATGCACTTCCAAGCACTCTGAAACGCCCTTTCAAATTTACGTGTAACTTCGAAAATATTCAACGGAACGATACGAAATTTCTTATGTGTATTATTAAATATATGTACGTTAAAAAAACAAAATTAAAAAAGTCAGTTTTATGAAAATTTTTACTGTATATAACGATTACTGAAGCCATCAATTCGAAAAATAATTAATACTGTATACTATATGAAAAAATTAACAATCAAAAAATTTTAGTTAAATTGTATGAAATATGATTTCAGAAAAACTAGCTGCAAATAAACAGGTGTTTACATATTTTTAACTGCATTTATGGCGCCACTTTAGTCTTAACTTGCTCAAATTCATTATTGAAGCTTGGATTTTACTAGGAAAATTTATCGAGTTATAAATTTTTCTATAAACAGCAACTAACAAGTCAAATGGTTTTTGTATATAACAATACACAATGCACATGGTATATATGCCATTTAAATATTTATTACAATATTCAGTATTTTCATTACTTTAACTTTTGTGTGTTTGAAAAATGGCAAACTCGTTTCGGTTTATATTTTGTGTAGTGAATGTAAAGCTATTTTTATAATATTTCTTTTATGTAAGCAAATGAATAATTATAATCACAAAGGTTTCTTTTCTCATTACAGAACGCGGTTTATACTACGGCTATGCGTACATACATGCATACATCTATAAACTAAGCTGTAATGAAAAAGCCAAGGGCAGAGTAGTAAATGAGTTCGGTTCAAATTTCTTCAATGATAATTAAATTTTGGTGTATTAAAAATTAAGAGAAAAAATTTAACTAAGCAAAAGCAGAGTGCCAAAAATATTAAAAATTATTTTCCAAGCAAACTTGATCAAACAACCATTTATGTGTACTAATGTGGGCATAAAAGGCGATAAAACAAATTTAATTAAAATGCTGCTATTATTTTATAAATGCAGTGCAGTTCATAATTTTAAGTCCTCATGAGTGTTTGAAATTAACATAAATATTGTTGTGAAAAAATATGTAATTAATGCCGAAAACCACCGCAATACTAGATAACGGTTAAAGTTTTGAACAGAAAAATAATAAAATTAAAAATTTTAAATATTAAATATTAAAAAATCCAGAGACGTGAGTGTAAATAAATACAAAAATCCAGTAAAACGCCATCCTTATCGAATCACATATACATACATATGTATATACATAAGTACTTGCTTACCACATTACATCTGCGCACCTAAATACTTACATACACAGCATTTCGTATTACGTACATTGTACACAAGTATGATGCACATTAATGCCAACGTGAAACTGTAGAAATTGAAGTAAATAAAACACAATAAAGCAAACCGAAACTCTCGACTCGCATCGCAGACGTGTCGGAATTTCGATAATGAGGCGTCAGTAAGCCATCGGCCGTAGAGCATACAACGCGCGAACGAGATATTCGTAGAAAATTCGTTTTTCAATACGAGACCGCAATGCATCGCGCATGGTAGACGTGTGTGCATGTATTGGCTGCGGGCGTCACGTGAAGGGTGCAATTCACCTGTTCGGCATTGATGGTGACGGTGCTTGTGACGATCGCTCGCCATGCGAGTATGCTTGATATAAGCCAGCTATTAGCAAAGCATTTACAGCTATGAAAATAAACGACGCGCTTCGTTATTGTTATTGAGCGATCATCACTGTTGTTGTTGACAGTATTATTGCAGCAGTTTTGCGCTTGCGCTGACAGTTCAACTGCTTGATCGCGCCGATCGTTGGCAGTGTCAAGTGACTGCTTTTTCTGTTATCGCTTACGTTTGTTCCTGACTGCAGCCTGCAGCTACATCCATCCAGAATATTCCTCATCATTTTCCTAGGTTAAAATATGACCGTGTCATATGCTGGTGAAGTGCCGAATGGCAGTAGCTTTGGCTGCTTCTGGCGCATTCTGTGGAAGTGAGTATGGAAATTTGCAATAACGAGTAATACGGATATGTTTATATTTTATTTATATGTATTGGTTTAAAACATTTAACAAGTAGGGTTAGGGTAAGTTGGTTGGTGAAGTTGAACGTTAATGTTATAAATAGCGACATATTTAAGTGTCTCGCTTAGAGCTAATAGAGAGAATGGCTATTAGAGCGCCAGAACACAATTTAGAACGTTTTGAATAGGGTTTCCATTATGCTTAGTTTAAATATTGGTAATATAATGTTGCCAAAACGATTTTACTTAGGTGTTTGTTATAAAACGAGAGTTTTTTTTTATGAACCATTCCGTTAGTTCCCGTGAGAAAATTAATAGAAATTGGTTTAATTAAATGCCAAACATCTAAATTTAGTCTTATTGGCGACAAAACGGGCATAGCGGAGACCGGTAACGTTTACGTAAGTTACCTTTCATATTTCGGGACTTGGCAACACTAGTGCTGCAATCTGAAAACTCACAACTGGATCGTAAAGTTTGACATTTTTGATAGAATTTTTTGACAAGCGAGCGCTATTTTTGTTGTTTACAGTAACTTAAAATATTCTTTTCGACCAAAGAGATGGAATTAAATCGCAAATATTTTCGCGGAATGGTATTTTACAACTTTCGACGTGGATTAACTCATCATCTTAATTAAATTTTTGACGTGAAACTACAATCCATCAAGGACTAGTATTTATCGGTAAATTCAAGCGAATTCAGTCGTAGATCATCTCAAGACGAGTTTCTCGAAGGTCGTTCAAAAAAAGTTCTTGTTAAGGAAACAATTGCAAACTGATATTGCAAGATCGTCAAGTGACCTATCATAAGATTGAGACAACTGTGTGCATTGATGGGACTAGCATACATTCAATCTTGCCTGAACATTTGACTGTACAAAACAGACAAGAAAATTCAGAGTGGCATACAATCAATTGTTTGTCAGTCGTTTTGCAAGAAATTAGGAAAACCAAGCGCTGAAGATGGATCACTTTCATCACGATAATACGAGCTCTCACATATCGACTGATACAATTGATGAGTTATCCTTCGCATAGTTCTGACTTAGCACCAAATGACTTCTTTTTATTCTCGTTCGTTTAAAAGAAACGAAGCTATATATATCTTTCAATAATATATTCACAATGATCAAGAGAGATTGAAATAGAGAACTGTGCTCATAATTTCCCACAGACAGGCCATCGGGTAAAGAGGAAGACTATCAATAAAAAAATATTTATATTAACCATTGTTAAATCTATAATAATCTATTGATTAATTGTAATGAGGTTTTAACTTTTACAACACAAATTGCATCAACCACTATAAATAATGTTAATAGAGCAGCCGGTGACCCATTAATTGGTTATCATGTATTTATAACAAAGACAGTTATCAAACTGTATCTTTTGTGACTATTGCTAAGATTTTCTTACTTCGCAGTATTAGTAATTACTAAAAAACCAAACCAAAATTTTGTTATCATCTAGGGCAAGCGCGGTTGTTAAAATTTATTTGTATCTATATATTACTTCATAACTACTATGACTTATGCCAAATGAAACTGGGTGATTTATTTTCGGTTTTGTTGACATTTCACAAAAGCAATTGTGTACAAATAACATATTATGGTTATTTTTTGTATGTCGTGTGTACTAGTGTATATGTATGTATGTAAATATATATTATATTTATATTTATTTAAGCTCTCATTTCCCTGGAACTCGCAGAAAGAAAAAGGTTGTAAGCAAATGGCCATATGGAGGTATAATTGCGTGATGGTTGCAGTGACTAAGTGATTTGGTGTTTAACTTTCATAGCGTTCATCGTGAGTTCGAAGTTTTATTTAAGAAATTATCTTCCCAAAATTAGAAATATAATCTTTTATAAGGCAACACTACGTTCCGATAACATATGGTTCATGATAAGAATCCTTTTATACTCTTTTATGCTATAATAAATGCACCGATGATGGGTATAGCTTCGCTGCAACCGAAGCAAAAATTTTTTCTTGTGTTTTAATATTTACGGACTATTTTCCATAAAACTAATTTTGCAATTAGGGATAAAATGTTAATATTGATGATTTTTATAATAAAATATAATAATAAAAAACCGAAGAGAACGTGTTCAAATGTGGGTTCCAGAAATAATATTATGCAATTTAAATTTATTATAAAATTTTTGTTGAAAATAGTTTCAATTGCAACACACTCACATCGTTTATATATAAAGTGAGTATTGTAAGAAATCACATGAAAGAATCTTAATTGTTTACTTATAAAACTTCAAAGCCATGCAACCATGTAGTTACATTGACTAATTGATATTGATGAGAATGGAAAATTTTTTCTAACACAATTTGCCAAGCAATCAATTTAAGAAAAAATCTAAATTTCAGAAAGTGTTGTTCATAAAAATAATGGCATACATTATATTAGTTTTTTCACACTTTTTTGCTTAAAGTCGAGTGTAAATTGCATTAAAACTTTATTTTTTTTCTGCAATGAAACATGTTTTTTTTATTCTTTTCAATTAAGCTGCTTATTGCTTTATTAGAACTTCAATATTGTATAATAACAAACAAATAATCAGACTGAGAAAATAATCAGATTATGAAATCGAAATTGAGAACCATGGAATATAGCTAGCTCAAAGTCACAATTAAAGGTGTATATATATATATATATATATATATGTACATATGTGTAAAGTGAAAAACTTACGTAAAATTATACATTTACCTTTATGTACATAGTCTTTGTGTAGGTATCATATTCTTGTTAATTGACTCATTTTAGTGTATGAATAAGCATTTAGCAAATGAATAAGCAAATTACTTATAATTATTTCGTTTTAAAGACATATATTTACATACATATGTAATAAATATAACTAATAATAACTTTTTTAATCATAATAACTACAAGTTAGACAAACATACTCTTAAAACCTGATTATGTGTATTTATGGCGTTGCCAACTAAGAGTCGCAGCGTTGAGAGAATTTTCTCATCCAATCTATCGTACCGAGTCTTACGGTGCGTCGGGATAGAGAGAAAAATTTCCAACAATGCCGAACCAACTTCATTTTAAAATTCTTACAATCCTCTGACCTTGATTTAAAAATCGCATATTGTTGCTATCTTAAAATATCTCTTTATGGAAACCCTACATCTGATTTTACTATAGCCTGTAGCATAGAAGATAGGTGAAGAACTTCATTGATTTCCGTTAAAATAAATCGCGCTTTTTTAGAAATATTTCTTAAAGCTCATATATAGAAAATATGACAGATATATAATATATTGTATCGACATAGCAAAGAAATAACATACAGCTATGTATGTACATACATATGTATATATATCAGAAATATCAGTATTTAAGTACATAAACTATGGGAAGTGCAAAAATTGCTTGCGAGGCCACTTAGTTGCTGGTGAACTTTTTGAATGACAAACTACCTGAAAAATAGGTTAGTTAATAAACATTTTATGAAACTTGCAAAAGCTTTCAAATATGTAAATAATGAGAAAAAAAAGCAAAATCAATCAATTTATTGACCGTCAAATTTAAAATCCCTGAATTAAAATTATGAACAATTTTTATTAGAGTTTGCGGCTTTATTTCTTATTTGGCGATAAAGCACGTGTCACGAAGCCGAAATGGCTGTCAAGCAGAAAACAACAAAGCGAGTGCCATTTAATACACACATGGCACATACATACTCATAAATACATATATAAGCTAGTGTGTCAAAGTGACGAATTATCAAACATATAAACATACATCTTTATACGTTTATAAATAAGTACATATTTACTTATATGTACTCAGCAGTTTATTATGAGATGTCGTTGTTTTATTATTGATTTTTCATAAGTTATTTGCTTGATTTGCTATGTTTGTATAGGCGTATACATACATATGTTTATAATGCTAAGAATTTTGATATTAGATGTTTACTGGCAGACACTCCCAAAAATTTTTCCAGAGCTTTTATTTTATTAAGTTTAAACTTTTTCAATCTAAGAGAACTTTTTAGGAACTGTAATGTAATAAAGTAGTAAATATACTAAAAATATCCTCCCAATCAACACTAAATTTCTCTTAAAGGATTATTTCCAAAGACCTCACCAATTCAACCCGATTTTGCTATCGTTTTCATTGCATAGGGACACCATGACACGATTGAGTTCTAGCGCTGTAGCCACCTTCTTTCGAGCTTTCGACTTTATGAAAGAACGTCTTTTGATAACTTTGGATGTTAAACTTAGTTTTGCGATCATCCAAAATATTATAGTTTGGGACATTTTAATTACATTTCTATTAGCATATGCCTTTTTGTGCGATCATTGGTTCATGGTTTGCTTTTGGCAGAGGTCGGATAACATTCATGAAATTATTTTTCAGTATCTTATCGGCACTTTTTCGTCAGAACATGTGATTAACTCTCGAACTAATTATCTGACGCTAGTGAAATTTATAATATTGTTGATAAAGGAGTTGTGCCGTGTGAAAAACTACTATTATGATATAATTTTGTGGTTACAGGTACATACTTAAGCTACTTAGGACTCAGCGTCGGCTATTAAGAACATTTTAATATCTACATAAAAGCTTTATGACCTGTTTCTTTTTCTGTAGTAAGATCAATTTAAGAGTCTTGATATTATAATATAGAATGATAAAAACTTTTCGTGGGCAGATTTTCTCATAATAATATTTGATTAAAGAACATACTAAGGTAAGTACTAGTTAGATACTAACTAGCCTCAACAAGCAAATTAAAAAAGAGAATTAATAGAATTTTTTGAGTATCACGCAATCTCCAAGGACGGTGAATCAAACAAAAAAAAAGTTCACTGCTGCAGTGATTCCGGCCTTGCAAGTGTAAAAAAATATATAAAAAATTTCAATCGCCTTTTATTGACAGTTCACACCTGAGTCGGGTCATGGAAAGACTTTAGGCCTAAGCACCGTTTACAAATCGTTCAAAATTATTACGAAAATTCATGTTGTGTGAAGAATGTGACTCGCCCATTTCTCTCAACTTATGGTCAACATAATCGGCGTACCGAACGTACAAATCGCAACACCATCTGAGGCGTAGCCGCGGCCAACGTTTGAAGAGATAGTATTCAAAAAATAAATGCCAAAGAATGTTCTTTCGAATGATAAAAAACATTCCCCATTAAATTTCCAAAATTCTATGTTTTTTCCTTAAAAAAGTAGAGAACGCCTAAATGGATCACTCTTTACATATAGATGAGTTGAATGCATGCACTACAAGGTGTGTTCCAAAGTAAACAGGACTTAAAACAAAAACAGAAAAAATGGTTTTTTCGGCAAAATCAATTTATTTTATTCAAAATAGTCCCCTTCTGCTTCACACACCTTTCGTAAGCCCAAATGTTCGATCAAAATGCGATAAATCGATGTTTTGGAGATGTTCAATTCCATTTCCTTGAATTTCAATGATGATTTTGGCTGATTTGTGATGAATTCACTTTCAATGGAATTTCCGGTGACCACGGATTTTGATTGGCCCACATTTTGATCGTCATTTTATAATATTTTTGTCCTCATGACCACTCTGAAAACATTGAAACCACTCGTGCACCCTGCTACAAGATATACAATCATCGCCATACACTTGCTTCATCAATTGAAACGTTTCAGGTAAAAGTTTTACCAATTTTAAAACAAAATTTAAAGTTGGATCTTCGTTCGAAGCTCAATTTCGTACCGATAACACAAACATACTGACACTTAAAACGCAATAACTTCACATCCAATCTATGAAATGTCATGAAATTCTCTCTGGACAATCGATAAAGATAGCAGATTCCAACGCACAGTCGACATATAGATGGCGCTAGATTCAAAAAGTCCTGTTTACTTTCGAAAGCACCTTGTTTATTTACATATAGACCAAAAAAACTTAACTTACTCGTAATTTAATTCCTAGTTCCCAGTCTTGCAGTTGAAGTTTTGAGCAGCGCTTGTTCAATCAAGCCGATGTTGACTATTTTTATTTACCGATCTGAATGTAAGCACTTTGATGTGCTAACCAGAGTTGTTTACTCGTTATCTATTTACATAAGTCAAGCAGAAAGGAGTTAATAAATGTATTGTTAGGCATAATAATATTTGCAATTTCAATAATGTTTGCAAGTTGCACAAGTATTTAAATTTATGCAATATCAGAAGCATTTAAAATTTTTTGATTTCTTACAAAACAGCAAATAAATGCCTGAATATTCTTCTTCCTTAATTAAATACATTTATTTTTTAATTTTATTACTATATTGCATATAGTATAATATTGTATAATGTATGTATGCATGTGTATGCGCTTGTGCGTGACTCTCCGAACCGGCCTACTTGCTCGTTAACTCGTCAAAACATTTGCGCAGAAGCAACGCTGCGCACAGTTGGTGCATTGCATATAATTTACGACGGCAATTATGAAACATATTTGCATTATAATTTTCCGACGCATAAATGGCGCGATGAACCTGTTTGAGAATAACAAACGACAGACGGACAAAGTCAAGTGCATGTCAAGCAATGCGGTGAAGTGAAAACAACAATTATGCAAGGCGAAAATAAATTTAAGAAGATATTAATTTTGCACCGTTATAACGCTTATTTTTTTTACTTGTATGTTATTAAAAAATATTGAAAAAAACTGCATTTAATAACGTTATAATCAGCAGGCTGATAATAACATGGCGCTCACACCTTGACTGCGGCGCTTGATCGTGCATAGCTCCTCCTGCAATTCGTTTATCGCTTCGGGCTATTTTTCTACAAATAATTCTGGTATAAGCTTGTTTATATGTACAGAAGAATTTATTCTTTGTAAGTAGTACTTTACGGTTTTGATTTGATTTTGTTAAACCAAACCGGTTTTGTTTAAACGCCTGATAATAAATGCACTTTTATTACTTTCTGTTTATTTATTTAGGAATAAAAAAGTCATCTACTCACGCAGTGTAAATCGGTGTTCTAATCAAACATGTTTACTCTTCTCTTTTATTTTCAGATGGCGTGGCAGCGTTTACAAATTGGTGTGGCGTGAATTGATCGCTTACTTATGCCTTTATTATACAATTAATTTAGTCTATAGATTCGTATTAAATGAACAACAACAATTGTAAGTAAACATTAATCATATATGCTTTTTACCTGTATGTACTTACATACATATATACTCATGTATTATTGTTTAACATATATGTACGGTTATGTAAATTATAATTTTTTATCATTTAGAGAAGAAGGCAGTTAAAGTTGTAAATCAAAGTTTTGATTTTTCATTCTAATATGTACTCTTCTTGTTTCCTAATAACAAAAATATTGCTTATGATGAAAACGAGGTTATAATCCGGTACCAGTGCGCATATAATAAGCAAGTGACCATCTGATCAATTTTTACCTGGACTGAAATACTTTTTCACATATTTTAATACAAATCTCTTAAAAATCGGCTCCTTATTTCCATACAATTTTTAAAGCTTTAGATGGGTGTTTAATATCTTCAGGTCCACTGATATTTGTCTAACAGTGATCCGTTCCATCTTCTTCTTTATTGACGTGGACACCACTTATGCAGCTATAGCCGAGTTTTCAACAGCGCGTCAGTTGTTCTCCGTTTTGGCGGTTTTGCAGCAATTGGGAATTCCAAGTGTAGCCAGGTCTTTTTCCATTTGGTTTCTCCTACGGAGTAAAGACTTTCCTCCTCCTCTGCTTTCCCCGTCGGGTACTGAGTCAATGCTTTTAGAGCTGGAGTATTTTCATCCAGTCGGGCGACATAACCTAGCCAGCTGAGCCGCTGTTTCTTAATTCGCTGCAGTAAGTCAATGTCGTCGCATATCTCGTACAGCTCATCGCTCCATCAAATGCGGTATTCGAGGTTGCCAATGGGCAAAGGACCATAAATCTTCTACAGAACCTTTCACTCGAAAACTCGTAAGGACAACTTTCATACTCAAATAATTAACCAAATTGTGTTTAATCGATCCCTAGGAGAAGTTGAGATCATATTCCTTCTTTACTGAAGCCATTGACTCAGGAGGATGGACGGCTCACATGAGACAATTTTTCTATGCACAACCCTCACTGAATGATTTGTGCCACTAAAACACTTGTGTTCGTGAAAAGATAGAATCTTCAAAACCTTTCTATACCATTTTCAATGGTTCTATAGCCGTGATTCCATTGGACTCGCAAAATTTCAAGCAATCTAGTTGTTTAATTTCTTTCCATGGTAGGTACGAGTATCACCAGAGAAACTTTCCGCGTCGTAAAGAACTAGCTACCAAAGAATTGCAAGAGATTAAAGCACACAAGAATATAAGAAAAGTTTCTATTAAGCGATAAAATGTTTTTATCGGCTTATTCGGTTTGCTGTGCAGTTTAGAAGAACCAGTTCGAATAATATTTGATCAGATAGTACATGCACTCTTTCATACCTTGATAGTTTTATGACAGACTTTTGAAAATATTTTAATTACTTCAAAATTTATTGTAGTCGAAAAAGTTTTTTCGTATTTCTAATCAAACTTCAACTTATTTTGTTTTTATTTATATTGAACTTTAATGAACCAAATATGTACCATTTCGGTCGACCAAGTTTTGTCATTTTTCCACTAGAGACATTATTCCATCAGTGTGCGCAGACTTTTCTGATTTCTCGACGAAAAACTGCGACAAGAAACTTTTACAGGCCTCTCTTGAAGCCAACTTTACTACATTAAGGGAGTTCTGCATTGATCGAAACCAATGGTAGTAAGATGTTGAGAGGTCAGGGCTATATGGAGGATGCATCAAAACTACCCATCCAAGTCTTCCCTGTTTTTGCCAAGTCATCAAATCTGTGTGGTCTAGTGTTGTTTTGGTGGAAGACGAATCCCTTTCCGTGGCTCAGTTCTGGCCGTCATCAGTTCTTGACAGTAAAATGCAGAATCAATCGTTCGACCAAGCTGGAACAGCTCATAGTGGATGATTCCTCTCCAATACCACCAAACACTCAGTATAACCTTTCGAGGTGTGAATTCTGGCTTTGCGACAATTTGTTGCGACCATTATTTGATCCATATTTCGTCTCCTGTTACCATTCGATTTCATTTCGTTTCAGCAAAGAATCACAGATGTTAAATCGGTCCATTAAATTTTTCTCAGACAATTCATGTGGTATCCAAACATAGAGATTCGTTTTGTAGCCCGCCTTTTTTAAATGATTCAAAACCATTTTATGATGAATGTTAAGTTCCTTAACGATTTTTCAACGATAGGTCGACCAGAGCCAGAAATTTCCAGAACAGAACCGACCGTACCATTGTTGTACTTCACAAACTGATACAGCATCGTCTCCGTAAACTTCACTAAAACTTTATGGCATGAGTTTCATTCTATCTTTTTTATACGAAAATTTTGTATTATTGATAAAATATGAATCGACTTTATCGACTACCCTATATTTACGTAAGACGTCTTGAAGGGTATCTTATTGCATGCAATCGCTATGTCGTTAAATTTTCAATGAAAGAGAGTGTCGTCAAAATTCATATAAAATAATTGAAAATATCAACCAAACAAATCCTTAAAATATTAAAATATATAGTGATATATTTAGTCAGTTTATTCCCGTGATTTCCGATAAAATATATTTTAGATTCTACAAATGTAAGACGTGCACACTGACTTCTCTAATAGAGCCCTTAATTGCGTTTTTTTCAGAATTTTTACCAAAGTCCGCATATATTTCGGTCAACAGGGCGAAAGCATACCCATGTCCTTCGTGCTGGGTTTCTATGTAAATAAGGTTGTGCAACGTTGGTGGGAGCAATATAGATTATTGCCGTGGCCCGACACTTTGGCGCTATTTATTAGCGCCGCCATACCAAACGCCACCGGCGGCGCAACGGTAAGTACTCAAAAGAAACGATATAGTGTACTTACATAGATAATTTATAATGTTAATAGAAGAATGAGACGGGTCGCCTGATGCGACGTAACATAATGCGTTATATGGTGCTCGCCTACGTCATCACGCTGCAGCGCATTTCACTGCGCGTAAAACGTCGCTTTCCCACCACACAACATCTCGTGGATGCTGGTCTCATGCACGAGTCTGAGTCGAAAATTTTCGATGCACTTAATGCCAAAAGTCCCATGTCCAAGTACTGGATGCCATTGGTGTGGGCGACAAATATTATAAATCGCGCACGTAAGGAGGGTCTGATCACATCCGATCACATTGTACAAACCATACTGATGGAATTGTCCGATATACGACGACGTCTGGGTGGTCTGATCGGATATGATACGGTGTGCGTGCCGCTGGTGTATACGCAGGTGGGTAGCGTTAATTGCCAACAATTAAACAGTTCGAATACAAACAACTACCGTTTAATTAAGTAATTGCTTGTTTTTTATTGCCGTCTCACAGGTTGTGACACTGGTGTTGTACACGTATTTCATAGCAGCGCTGGTCGGCCGACAAATGCTGCCGAACATGCCCGATGCCAAAGATCCAGACTTGTATTTCCCGTTCTTCACAGTATTGCAGGTGAGTGAGAATCATAAAAATATATGAAAATGTGGGGAGATATTTGTTTTTGAAGCTTTGAACTGGATACTATTTTAGTTCAAAAAATAAGTAATAATTAAAGAAATATTAAAAATAAAAAATATTAGATTAAGTTATTGCTCTTCATTTTTGTGACCCTTTTGATCAATGGCTTATATTGTTTATCGACAAGCGACTGTTGTGAGGTTATTTTGTGGATGACAGACACGAATCGTAACTTCTAAGAGAAGAGATCAAAGAGAAAAGTTTTGTCTACAACTACTATACAAAAGTTTGACAGTTTGTTTCATTAATCGCATATCATGGCCTAACCTTGTACTTCTTGACCTTAAGGCAGTTAATAGGTGGCACTAGGGAATAATAGGGTATACATTTATAGGGGTAATCTGGTCGAAAATTTGTAATTTCATCCACTACCTTTTGAGACGAATTTTGATGACTCTTTCGAGGATTTCGACTGGTAACTGGCGAGAGACGTTTTGCTCCAAGGCCCGAATGGAAGTGAGATTGTTCGCATAGACTTTAGACTTTACATATACCCACAGCAAAAACTTTAACATATGATATCACACAATCTTGTTGGCCAATCGTCCGGCCAAAACGTGAAACTATCTGCTCACCAAGAGCCGAGATCACGAGCTTCAATATCAGCCATCAAATAGTAGGTAATATCATGGGACGATAACGGTCGCCACTTACGATAATGTTCTTACCGGCATCTTTGTTTAAGGAATATGGACGGATGATTTCACCGGCACACAAAGCACACCGTTTTTTTTTCTAGATGAAATGGCAATTCTTGAATCGCTTCAGGTTGCTCTTCGTTCCAAATGCTGCAATTTAGCTTGTTAACATACCCATTGACCCAGAAATAGGCCTCACCGCTGAACAAAATTTTACTCGAAAACGCTTGATCATTTAGGAACTTTTCAAGAGCCCGTAGAGCAAAACGATGTCGCTTGGGTAGGAATAAAAATAATACGGCAGCCTGACACGACTCGCACATGATCTGTCAAAAAATAAATTAAATAAGACACCTCTACTTGGATCACCCACTATAACTGAAGTTTGATAGTCAGTATTTTCTTGGAATGTTTCTGAATTTTCCTTATTTCCATTAATATTAAATACGCCAATTGTTTTTTTTTTGTTGTTTTTTGTTAATTTTCATTCGTTTATAACCTAATAAAATCGTTTTGTAAGCATTTCGATTTTTACAATTCATCATACGTCAGCTGCCTTATACTCGCGGCGTCGTTAAAAAAATTTAAACTTTCAAAGCTACATTTTGGTTGCATTCGTATGGGTTTATATAGTACTATATATCAGTTATAATATTTATATACAAACATATTAAGTACATACATACATATATGTACAACTAGATTATGATGTGAGTGAAATTACGGCTTGCGGTTTAGAGAAGCGCACAGCTAAGTGATTTTGCCCTTATACAGTGTGTAGGTATTTTGGAGTATTTAGTTTACTGGCGGTGAAATAAAGCAAACCAATTTGTACATGTACATACATATGTTTTTTGTTTTCTTTTTATTTTTAATTTTTTTTTATGTGCATATATGATACATGAAAACATTTGTAATTAAATAAATGAAATCCATGCACACGTACAATAGTGAATAGTCATATAAACGAGGGTAAGAGGGTAGACAATTCAATAAATATTTGGCATAATAATGACATTTGACTGCTAAGCTACAAATCAACAACCTACGTGCACCAGCACTCACACCCCTATAAACAAAATACTATGCAAAAGGTGTAGGTGGATCATAACTGTTTACTTGTGCAAAAACAAAATGCGAAATTATTTTTGTAATTTTGACTTTGTACTAACATATTAATTTTTTATTTTAAATATAAATATTTATTTCTTTAGAGACGCTCTATAACATTATACAACACTTTGTGAAGTATTTGACCAAATCAAGTTTTTTCGAGAGACTAAGTTATAAGTAAACAAGTAAGGAAGGGCTAAGTTCGGGTGTCACCGAACATTTTATACTCTCGCATGATAAAGTGATAATCGAGATTTCAAGCGTGGTTTTGAACCGATTTTACCCATATTTGGTGCGTGTCATCAGGGTGTTAAGAAAATATTATATACCGAATTTCATTCAAATCGGTGGAGTACTTCCTGAGATATGGTTTTTGGTCCATAAATGGGCGACGCCACGCCCATTTTCAATTTAAAAAAAAACCTGGATGCAGCTTCCTTCTGACATTTCTTCGGTAAAATTTAGTGTTTCTGACTTTTTATGTTAGTCGGTTAACGCACTTTTAGTGATTTTCAACATAACCTTTGTATGGGAGGTGGGCGTAGTTATTATTACTCGATTTCTTCCATTTTTGAACTGTATATGGAAATGCCTGAGGGAAACGACTCTATGGTTGACATAGCTATAGTAGTTTTCGAGATATGTACAAAAAAGTTGGTAGGGGGCGGGGCCACGCCCACTTTTCCAAAAAAAATTACGTCCAAATATGCCCCTCCCTAATGCGATGCTTTGTGCCAAATTTCATTTTAATATCTTGATGTATGGTTTAGTTATGACACTTTATAGGTTTTCGGTTTYCGCCATTTTGTGGGCGTGGCAGTGGGCCGATTTTGCCCATCTTCGAACTTAACCTTCTTATGGAGCCAAGATATCTCAATTTTTACTCAAGTTACAGCTTGCACGGACGGACGGACAGACGGACGGGCGGACAGACAGACATCCGGATTTCAACTCTACTCGTCACCATGATCATTTTGGTATATACATATAAAAATTTCTGAATTTCTTTTTTAATAGTGTATGTATGTAACAATAACAAATTTAGGAAAATATTTCATTCTGGTAGGGACGATAACCATTCACGTATATTTTAAGAATAAATTAGGTTTTTGTATTTCATATGAATTAAAAATGGGAAATCGTGTCCGCCAGTGAAAAAATGCAACCCATTCACTTAGACATTTCTCCGACAGATGTGATCGAAAAATTCTGAAAAATTTTGTTTCTACACTCCACGATATACCTCATGATATATGAAAAAAGCTATTGTAGAATAAAAATTTCTCTGAAAAAAAAAATTTTCAAAAAACGGAGCAGATTACCCTAACGTGTTATTTCGGACTGAGTTCAACATCTACTGAGCAATGTCATTGTGATAGGTAGACAGTAAATTGCGACCTACGATCTATTGTGCTCTCCCCCATATCACATACATATAGTCCCCCATATAGTCCACAGTCCAGCATCCTAAACAATTCCATGAGCCTGCTAGGCGCGACTAAGTTGATGTGATCTCTGTCCACGTAGAAGGCATCTATGGCCTTGAGAGTGCTTCAACAAATTGCTGGGCAATCCGGAATCAGGCACCCGACTCATACCCAAGTAATTGGTTAAAATCATATGGCGCAAGCCAATCAATAATTTTAGTTCTTCAGCAATTTCTCTAATAAATATTCGACGATTTGCTAATACTAATTTCTTCCCTCCATTAATGTTTTCGTGTTTTCTTGACTTATTTAGCCATCCAGTTCACATTCTCTTGACTCTCTGAGGTCATTTCTTACCCCCGCTAAACGATGTTTTTGTCCAAGGACAGATTCTTTGATACATTTTTTGCTCTTCTATTTACAGTTTGTATTTTATGTTGGCTGGCTAAAAGTCGCTGAAGTGTTAATAAATCCCTTCGGTGAAGATGATGATGATATTGAATTGAATTGGCTCATCGACCGGCACATAAAGGTGAGTACGATGTACTATGTGATTACTTATTTTAATATAAGAGGTGAAAGTTGTGTTTCAGTTGCAAATACCAAGACTGAAACAGTAATTCTTCGAAGGCTTATATGTATAATATTTAACTTAATATGTATACATACATATATAACAAATAATACTCAGCTTCAATTTCTTACATACATATGTACATATATTGCAATATTTTTACGCTTATAATGAATCCACCAATTTGTGCTGTGTTCACTTGTGATTGATGTGGGAATTTCTAAAACCTTTTCTAAGTTCGTCGCACGACTAAATATTAACCTTGTCAAGCTGGCCAATTAATTGTTATCACTAAGCTATTAATTCGCAGAAATTTCGATTAAAATGAACAAATAATGCAAACATGGAATAATTTCAGGTCCAACAAGTCATTTGACTATATTTCTTCTATAGAAGCAACTGGTATTTTGAAGTGTTGATATCCGATGTGATATCAGATTTCAGTAAGAAATACATCAGTTTGTACCAGAAATATACCTTAACCGAAATTTTTGAGTTATGACATTTTTCGCATAAATATACATATTTATCGCGTACAAGTGCGCATATCCACATAGCAATCATTTCATATATCAGTGTAGAGAAGAATATAGTCGCACTCGTACGCCATCTATTTTTATCAAAGCTATTTTTCTCCGGCCTTCGCTGGCGAACAGAGCATAAATGCGTCCATACGAAAATACACTTATTCTTTATTTTTTCTTAAAATGTAGTTAATGCGCACGTGCAAAAAAAATACAATAACAATAACAACACCAACAGAATATACGCACATATATTACAACAACTTTTGCCCATGGAGTATGCCAAAACCTTCGGCACGTTCCGCGTTGAAGTGGTTTCTGAACCACACCATTGTAAGAGAAATTATTTATGTACGAGTATATGTAATATACATAGTATATACGTGTACAGATGTCTGTTCGATAAAAAAAAGTACTTGTGTCCAAAGTACAATTTTGTGCTTATGTAAGCTTGCAAGAAAAGATTTGCAAAAATTGGTATGACGGCAAAAGCGCATGCGCACATCAATACCTGCGATAACAGCAAATTTATGCAGATATACATACCTACATACACATGTATTATTCTACGTACAAAGTCACTCCGCAAAGAGACACAGCGAAGTACCAGATCCACAGAGCGTGCTCACGGCAGTTTAAGTAAGATCGCTGGACAATGCCTTCCATTTATTCGTGTTACTCGTGGGCTTGGAGTTTGTGGCCGGTCAACGCAAACTGGTTTCCCTTGTAGAATAAAAAGAGAGAAATTATTCTGATGTTTGCATAAACTTTATATATCTCTGTATATATGTATATCTGGCTCTATCCATATAAATATATGTATTCATATATATACTCGTATATTATATATGGTATAGTAAGTCTTGATTTCATTACCTGAGTTGAGTTGCATACCCTGGATTGGTTGAACACATAATTAGCAGTTGTCAACAGTATTACTTAATCGGATCAGCTGATGTGCTGTGGTCAATTTAATACTCCGAAGTCATATCTGATTTCAGCTTTTGCATTATCCTTTTTAGCGGTTCTGTTATTTTCCCTTACTTAATTTCAAATCTGTCGATACCGTATTAATTATTCATTTAGCGTTGTCCTTCGGTGTGAAATTAATATTATCAGATCATAGATAAATACGTCCAGTTTATTATTCTTCTTTTTTACTGGCATAGACACCGCTTATGCGTTTATAATCGAGTTAACAACAGCGCGTCAGTCGTTTCTTCATTTCGCAATTTGACGGCAATTAGAGTTATAAAGTGCAGCCAGGTCCTTTTCCACCTGATTTCTCCAACGGCGTGGAGGTCTTCCGGTCTTCCTCTTCCTCTGCTTCCCCTGGCGGGTACTGCGTCGAATACTTTCAGAGCTGAAGTGTTTTTTTATCTATACGTACGACATGACCTAGCCAGAGTAGCCACCGAACATTTCAGGTGCATGCCATTAAATCGACATCCCTAACACGTTTGCAGCTGTCGTCCTCGGTAGTGTTTTTTACGTGGCGGGTCCCAGACCCAGCGCACAACCCTGGAGAGGGATAGTTAGCTTTGTCATTTTAGCTCGTCTTCAAACTGCTGATTTTTTTTTTTGGCTACCCAGAGGATACTCGGTTCTCGTGAGCTGCTTGAACCATATGTAAAAGAATTGAAGAGAACTCTCCTCAATTCACTGAACTTTTACGCATGGCTCCTCTTATCTCTCGGAGGATAAACGAGAAATCATTGTCTTTTTAATCGCGATGTTGTCAAAAATGAAATCCAATTTTAATCATCTTTTGGGGAAGTTTCCCTGAGTAAACCGAAGTCTTCGATTTTATATTGTTCAAAGGTCTATGGAAAGCTCTCTCGTTAGTAATTTGCAATTTTATATTGACCCATAAAGCTTTAGGAGTGCGCATAAAGCTAATTTTAGAATAACCTTAACTTTTCTTATTCGAACTACTCGATAATTCCAAAACATTTATTGTAATGGTTTCTTGCTTCAGCACATAGCTCTACGACATTTATTAAGTCGTTTCTAGTTCTAATATAAGATTGTAAATTTTGGGAGTTTTTTTTTTAAATTTGAGCAGTTGAGTTCATATTTAAACCTGCAGTTGGTTCCAGTCTCTTCGTAAGCATCCAGACTTTGAGAATTTTTCAGTGAACACGAAAAAGTGCCATAGCAGTGCTATGGCTAGACTTCGAGCCTATGTCATCTTGTAACAGAAACTTGACATCTACTAAATACCTTTACTTGGATTCTGTCACGCCCACACACATTATATTTGTTCGATTTTGGCACACTTTAGACCTTTCCTGTGGGAATATGTAAAATCTAAAGTCTATGTGGACAATCTCGCTTCGATTCAGGCCTTGGAGTAAAATATTACGAGTGTCATTTACTAATCGAAATGCTCGATCGAGCCATCGAAAATTTAACTCAACAGATAAACCATCAGAGCCAACATTTGAAAGAGATAATCTTCACAAAACTAAATAGAATGTTCTTTTGAATGATAAGCTTCTATGTTTTTATTTTTTTTTTCTTAAGTAGGGAACCTTGAGACCCAACCAATTTGGACCAGTCCGGTTCAAATTTGATCATGTGGTATAGACATTTATTGAAAATCGTAAAATATTTAAATTTAAAATCTGATTTTTTGTTGTTTTAAAATTTTACTCGTTTAACCCAATTTCGGTGCAGCAAGTAGAACAGCGAATAAAATCGCAATTTTTGCAATGAAACGTGACAATTTCACGACATTGCAACTAAAACAAAAAATATAACAAAATAATTCATCGGAGCTGACAAGCAATAAAAAGGTATACAACATGCATACAAGCGTTGTACGTGAAGCAATATTTTATACATTTATTGTTATATAGTTACCATTCATATTCTTAGGCACAGTGGGGTAAAAGTCATTGATTTGCACACAAAATTCTTACACAGGAATAATTGTGTTAAATTATGATATGTGACATACTTGAAATTGCTTTTGAAGGCTTGCTGACAACTTATAACGTTTGTGGCGAGTAATATAATTTACTTTCGAAAGGCGTAAGATTTGCTTATTGCTCGGTTTTGTCAAATACGCCGCCCAACTGTCGGCAACTTAAACGCAAGTGTTTGATACGCGTTGGTGGTTTGCTGCCCGGCCACTGAGTGGCACACTCTCACTCGTGCTGCCTGTGTGCTTGTCAGCAGTTTTGAGTGCTGGACGAGTATTGTTACATAATAAGTGGGGTAAAAGCATAACATATGGGTTAATGCGCACGCGTTGCGGAACTGAAGTTGTTAACCACACTTCAATAAGCAGTTTAAACACCAGTATCCATATATTTGGTAGGTGTGTATGTAAACTTCCACGTATTGCATAAATTATGTAGCGCCAAAAGGAAATAAAATGAAATAATTTAATTGAGTGCTTGTTTTCACTTTTACTTAAAATTTCATTTGCATTTGCACTTTTTTTCTAATTGGCCGCTTGTGTTTTGTTACTATATTTGATGCCCTTATTAGTAAGTGCACGTTTTTGGCTCGAAACTGTTTGCTACTTTATACGGCAAGCTGTTCATGGGAAAGTACAGTAAGCTCTAGGTAAGTGGCACAATAGCTAGTTTAAGCTGAGGACAAAAAAGCCTCTAGATTTTTTAATAATTATTATTTCTCCGACCATTTATTGTCTGCGCTCCCAAATGTAGGCAACGTTTGCTACCTCTAGCTGTCAACGAGAAATACTATTTGAGTCTTATGCGTCGTTTTCGCGAAGTTATTCGAAAAAACACTCTTGGTTTTAGCACCATGATAACACAATGTCGGATACTGCATTGACTCTTCGTCGGTTATTCCCCAAATTTTCAACCAATGTCGCGCCGCAACCACCATATCCTTTTATTTAACTCCGTTTGACTTCTGACTATTCAGCAAATTGAAACGACCGCTCCGGGGAAACTGTTTTGAGTAAATTGAAGACAGTAAGCGTGATTTATCACGAGCATTGAAGTCTATTCTGGAAATTGAATTTAACAGCTGTTTCGAGGATCGGAAAAAACGTCGGTACATGTGTAGTAGAGCCAGTAGAATTACTTTAAGGGGGACTACATAGATTTAAAAGAGTAAAATAATAATTTTAAAATTATGAACAAAGTCTTACTACATTTTGCTCATACTAGTAGTACTTGAAAATCGTGGTGCTGACATCAGTGAATATCAGTATCTCTTATGAATCAACTGAACATTTTTGTGTATGAAGTTTGTCAATTCTAGACTCACACCCAGCGATCTTAATCGTTTCTAAAAAATGTATGGAGTAGAGGTCGCATAAGAGATATCAAATAAGGTCCCACACTTATCAAATTCATCAATACTGGTTTCAAGACGTGAGTTTATGAATAGGGCGTCCAAACTGTTCAACAACCTAGTGAATAGCCCTCCAAATATGAACCGAAACCGGTAAAACGAATTCATCGTAGTGATGAACGCCAACCTAGTCGAGACTTATGACAARGATTGGGAAATTTGTGTTAATAGTTGGCACGCTTGTATTGGATCAGGAGCCTATTACGAAGGCGAGAATTGAAACTATTTGTGTTAAAATACTTGAAAATGTAGTTTTTTTATGTCAGTCCGGATCAAATTTGATCAGATGGTTTACGTAAATATAAAATATAAAATAAATTCCCTTTTAGAGATTTTTCCATTATTATATATGTATATATAAAGACATTTAAATTTTTCAATATTTTCAAAATACCACGAAACACTTCTCTCAAAATAAGTAAATAATGGTCATTACAACCCTTACCATTTCTAGGCCGCCTACTTGATCGTCGATGAGATGCACGAGGAGCATCCCGAATTGCTGCGCGATCAGTATTGGGAATGTGTGGTGCCCAAAGAGTTGCCATATACCGTCGCCTCTGAGCATTATCGACGTGAGGAGCCCAAAGGTTCGGCGGAAAAATATAAAGTGAAGAAAGAGGATGCCATGTACGCCAATATAGTGCCAGGTGGTGGCAAACGTGGACTCGTCGATGATGTCTACGCTGATTATGTATGTAAAACACCAGTGTTTCATTTCAAATTTAATAACAATAATTTCTTTTTTGCAGGAGAGCGTTGACACACCAATGGTGGAGCGACGTAAAAATAATAATTGGCTCGTACGGCAACTCTCACGTATGGGCTCCATACGTAGCCAGTCGACAGCTTATTCATCGAGTGGCATGGCCTTTAATCGGAATCGTCTCAATTCGGTCTACTCCAGCCCTGAGTCCGGCATACCGGTTAACATACTACAGCAACAGCAACAAGCACAACAACAACAACAGGGACAAGCAGCGCAAATACAATCGAAGCCGAGTTTTTACGGCAAGTTCGTGAACCGTAAATCGCAACGCGCCCAGAAACAGTTGATTAAACAGAGTAAGTTAGGAGATTATAAAGTAAATATGATAAATATTGCTTATTACTCGTAAATTCCATTAAGAGTTTATGAAGATATTCAGAATATTTGTGTAATAATGTGCTCCCGAAGAAACTTTATATTCTCAGTGATTCGGTCGGGTTATCTAATTCTCACCCTCCTTTCCTATTGATAAACTTTGTGTCTCTTAATAAATATTCAATGATACCCTGAAAATTTGATCAAATATTTTCAAGTACTACTCTTGCATAACTACTATGTTGCCTACATTAAGGGGCAGCCAAGACACAAACCATACCAAGCATATTAAAAACCCCATTTTCATCATTAATAGGCTGAAAGGAGTATATAGCATATCTAGTATACATAAATTCAAGCTAACCATTAAGTGCTTTGGAAATTATTTTGTCTAACTGTTTTCCTCTTTTATTTCTTAAGTTTGTATCGAGAAGCTTTTACATAACTTTCTAATTTTTAATCTACACTTTTTCTCCGATAATAACATACACTCATAAACACACATAAACGAATATACCAACACTAAACAGACTCAAAGCTGAATGGTCTCAATGTCAATGTACCCAAGACACGACCACGCATACCCACGCCTGACGCTTCCAAAGAGTTGGGCGAAAAAGATTTGGATGGTAAGTGTTTTTTTTTTTTGGTATTGATTTGACTCATTTTGTTGCAGCACCAATTCAAAATTTGAATGCACCCATAGGCACGAACACCGTCATTATGACACCACAGTTGAGCACTCAAACCTCCATGTATCCCTACACGAGCACCAACAATCAGGATGGACCTGTTTTGGGCACACTTCTATTATCGCCGATTAAAGAAATGGATAGCTCATCTTCCAATAATACTTTGATTCCAGGACATCCGACAACAACGGCATTGGCGCAAGCTGTGCTACCAGCCAATTTGAAGGACATGAACTTTGGTGTGGTCTCGCGTGAGTAACAGCAAATTGTTATTTGGATTTTATAACTCCTTTTTCTCTCTATAATGCAATTGAAACGATATTTTCTGTTTCTTTATTCAGCCACAGCACCCGTTACAACAAATATCACCACACTCTCTTTCCCCTTCACAATGAGTACCAGCGCTACAGACTCATTGCCCGCCGGCACTTTAAATATCGTACCCATCGGTGCCACACAAATGCCGACCATCACCACCACCGCTAGTGGTTTCGATGCCAACGATCTCATCACAACAATTCCCGTCTCACTCTCCATACAACGCTCGCCATCGATGCGCTCCATCAACGACTTTAGCGGCAATGAAAATATGGATGTGCCACATAATCTCCATGGTGGTAATGGCGGTGGTGGTTTGGTCGCCACCACAAACAAAGCCATACTCACTATAAAGCCACTGAACGGCGGTGACAATATTTCACGCAACAATAGTTTTAATGCCAACTTGAATCTAGATCTGCAAGATTCATACATACTAGAGCGAAATGCATCGGTGCGTTCGACTGGACAACCCGTCGGCAGTAGTGTAACGGATGGACCGACAACGGCACCTCGTGACACTTCTATAGAGGGTAGAACAGAGAGTATGGGTGCCAGCGGCGCATCGGCGCCCTCTACTTTGGCGAAGCGCACGCCCGAGCCGGCGAAAGGCACGAAAGAGGTGTATGTGTAGAGCGAAAAGTGTTTGTTAGAAGGCGCATTAGAGAGGCAGCTGCTCTTATTTATGCATTTGTAAATATTGAAATAAAAGTTGTTAGCTAATTTTTAATAATGCAAGTATGATATGCTTCATAGCTAAATTTCTAGAACTAAAATTGTTTTCCATATTAATAATAACAATAATAGTAATATTTCTATTAATAATCTGATTACTATTAGACCAAACTGAACCTTATATAAAACTATTGCACTCGAATAGAATATAGCGGAGATCAAATACATCTGTAAATATATAATAAGCCTCTAAACGCTGGCGATATAACGGTGTTTTAGGCATAGATATCATAAAAATCAAAAGTATCAAACGGTCTTTTCAATTATAGCTCCTCAAAATATATTTCAGTATGTTTATTTAATAAATGTTCTGTATTATTTAACTTTATGGCTTGATGTAATAGCGTGCAAGTATATATATACATATATAAAAAATATATAAAAGTTTGAGTAATAATTTGGTATATATATTAAGCTTATTCAATTAATGATTGTTGAATTAATTGAATCTCTATATAAATTTAAAAGCGAATGCAACCTTTTGTGATATTTGTCATATGTACTTTATATATATGTATCTATATGTGCATACATATCCACATCTGTGCCGATGTTAAGAAAATTGAAATCACTTGCTTGTAGTTGTAATATTATATACTATACATATACATATATACTATATATAAAACTAGAATTGATTTCAAAATTGTTGATCAACTTTTATGTTATTGATATTACATATGTTTAGAAATATATACGCATATACTATATTATTTTTGTTTAAATAACTATACATATGTATGCCATTAGTTGAGCGAAGCCTTCGGTGATAATTGTATGCCGCGAAAATATGTTTTTGATTGGTACAAATTATTCAAAGGAGTTCGAGAACGACTTGACGATGAACCATAACATGGACGGGATCAGATATCTTACTGGCATCCTTGGAATATCTGAGGGATTATTGAAAACCATTACGAAAGATCATTTCGGCTTAAGTGAAGGCACGATTGTTTCCAAAATCACTCAATTTGTTCCGAAAAACAGCGTCGCGTTAACTTCTGGGAAACAATGTTTCCCGACTACCAGAATTACACGAAATGTATTTTTACGGGCGATAAGTATCGCATCTATGCATTTTTCACCACGATAACGTACCATCCCATAATGCAATGGTTTGTCGTGAGTTTTTTGACAAGTTTTCAATCAATATTGCTACACAATCACAGTAATGCCGAAAACTGACTTTAACAAATATTTCGAATATTTCTAATAAAATATTTAATTTTTTATATGAGAAAAGAAAAGTTTGAAAAAATTCTGTGTTTCAAAATTATGAACAAGGTCTTACTATTGGATTAGCTGCTGTCAGTATCAAACCAACTTGACCTAGTATGTATTCTGCATTCCTAAACTTTAGCACTTTTTTTTCTAAAACTATCATTATCATGTTATTTATGATTTCGTACTCTACTTATCTTCGAACAGTGGTGCTATCTTTCGGAGGTATAAATTCGTCAATGGTATTATCTGGATCAACTATCCGGTAATAATTTATAGGCATATCATGTTTTTTTTCTTTGATAGGAAATAAATAACTCATGGGAAATCGATACATATTTTCACATGAAACACTGTTAGCTAATCGTCAATTAGTGGGTAATTACCAATAAATTTGACGGTTAATTTATTAATCGTAAATAAAAAATTGATTTGTTAGTGAAAATGTTTTTTTTTTTATTTATTGCTTATAAAAATTATATAATAAAATTATAAATTTAAATTTAACACTGCCACCTGAAGGATAGAAAATTTTTGATTTGTTTATTTATTCTTTTTCGATTTTTTATTGTGTTTATTTTTGATTTGTGTCCCCCCATTAACATGATTATAACAAACTTATCTAAGCGTATCGTACTTTTATTTTTAGCCTAAGGTCGGTTGGAACTAACATTATATTCATTTAAAAAGTTCATTAATTCTAAAAAAGGTTTGAGATTATTTGCAAAACGAGAATTTGTTGTCAGCTGACACTAATTGTGAAATCTATATTGAGTGTGTGTGAACAGCAAATCCTTTGAAACAGTTTTCGTGTTAAGTTCCGCAACAAACTGACCTGTTTTGTAAGAAAAAATGAGCTGAAAATGTTGCATTATTTTTAGTTTTAGCAACAAAACTAAGACAGCAAAAGTATTTTACTTGATGAGTCTAAAAGATATTCATATCTTACCGATCCAACGATATCCAAACTGAAGTCAACTATTGGGACTATTGCGTTGTACTGGGAGTTGCATAAATTCTAAGTTGTAAGAACATCAAGCCTCTGGATGAAGTTTTTTAGTTACCAACTATGGTAAGATTTCTATGGACTTGGGCATAAATGAAATTAAAAACTATAAAATTACGTCATTTTCTCTTCAAGAAGCTGCTCATTTGTTGAAACTGCCGATATCGAACCAGTATAACACATAACTGCCATACAAACTGAACGATCGGAATCAAGTTCTTGTATGGAAAGTACAAACACATTTAACAAAATATTATATATTCACGAAATTTGGTGTAGATTATTTTCTAAGGCAACAATGTAATCTCCGAAAAAATTGTTTTTGACCTTATAGAAGCCTATTGATAAGATCCCATGGCTCGTCACCAGTAATAATGCATTTGATGAGTGTAGGATTTTCAGTTACATATTCAATCACTTCTTTTGCGAACTCTACGCGATGTCTCTTTTGCAAAAGATGCAGATATATTGGTAAGAGTCTAGCATTGACTTGCTTCACCCAAAACTATATTTTATTTTATTTAATGGACTTTTTATAAATAAAGTCAAGTGGTATGGAGGTATCCACAATATGATGGTTCAATTTATAATTTTACCAAATCAAGCGGTCAAATTATTTACCGTTACTATTGGCCATGTTATCAATATCAATTAACTATCATATAAATAAATGCCTAAAAGTAGGCATCAAAAACTGATGGTATATATTAAAACGACATTTAAATAGATCCACTGATTGCTGGGAATATAGGTGAGTACATATTTATGTTACTTTCTATTTGATGGTTATTACTAAAGATATATAGTCCCAAAAATCTACCATGTAATAAGCCATTGTGTCGAGAAAGTGAATTCTACTGGTATTCGAACGAGATAAATTCAACAGAAATCTTGAACTAAAGTATTTCTAACAATTTAACGGGTTACAGCGGTTTCCTCGGATAAAAACAGCCATTAAACAATTTTTTTGCCATATAAAAATTTAAATATTTTATTAGCATTTTTTATTGTAACAAGCATACACTATTAACAAAGAAACTATGAACTTTTTCGAAAGAGATAATTTAAACTCTGCCATTCCGACGCCATTTCCGGTGACCCGACAGAAGAAAGATGAGCCCGCATTGGCAGGATAACGCCTTACAGGATCATCTAAAATTAAAAAAATCATGTTTTAATTAAAACCTTAACTTAGAACTAGGACGATGGAAAAAAAATGAAAATCGGATTTTTGGCAGATATTTTTAGAAATAAATTAAAATTGCAGTGAAAATTTCGCGATTTTTTTTTTTTTTGTAATTGTTGTAAACGAATCTTTCGTCCAAATCTTTAAGAATTCTACATCAAAGACCTTTGTAAAATTGCATGACGATCAGTTGAGATCAGTAGTTCCAACCGACTTTCGCAGAAATAAAAAAGACAGCGCACTTAGCCTAGCTCTCTTCGAGGGTACAAGTTCCAACGGCTGTAACTCCGAAAACATTACTCGGATCAACTTGAAAATTTTGAATAATATTCTAGAGTTGTTGGGAATTTAATTTTTGAAACTCGTAAGCCCATGTAACCCCTTAAGAAATGAAGAGATGAGGATTCAGAAACAGAGGAAGTTTATAGTACTTTAGTGTTCGACGCCAGTGTGCTCCTTGATCCAATCCAAGTAGCTGGTAATGCGGTAAGCGGGGTAACCCAATTCGCAGCCATCAGCAGCACCATAGGAAGTTAAACCAACTTGACTTTTGGACGACTCCAAAACCAATGGGACACCAAAATCACCACTGCAGGTCGAAACACCGTTTGGTGTGCTAACGCAAACATTTGAAGCCTTCACTGATGAAGTGCCATAGATTCTAGAGCAAACTGTGTTAGAAACAATTTCTAAGGTAGCATAGCTAGAGACAGAGCTGGCGTAATCGGAAGTAAAGCCCCAGCCGGAGGCAACAACACGATCACCACTGTACGATGAGTTGGTGCCGGCGATGCTCGGCAGTTTGACCGCGCCGATTTTGCTGGTGAAGCAGGTGGCTGATATGCGGATGAGTGAGATATCGTTTACGATCTTCTGAGAATTTCAGCCAGTGTGAATGATGACTTTATCTTTGGAAACGTTGTATTTAACTTCTGAGGAAGTGCGTACAGTGGCGCTCAATGTGAAATGTAAATTATTTTTATAATTACAGCATAAATGATTCTACAAATTATGCTGGGAATTACTTCATTCAGTTCTTCTGATTATTATATATTATGTCTTACCATTCAGTGCAGTGAGCAGCTGTCAATACCCATTCTGATGAGATCAAAAAACCACCACACTAGGACGAAGAGAAAATATTCTTTTTCAATGAAAGTCCAACCTGATAGGGAAATTGATCCACAGCGGCACGTTCACCGTTGGTAATGCGACCATTAATGCCGGCGGTAGCAGCTAAAACTGGGCTACCGACAGTGTAGGCGGATGCTGCCGCGATACAGAAAGCGCAGATGATGAAGAACTTCATATTGCCGAAACAACCGTTATACGAATAATGTTTTTCCACTCGAGCATTCGTCTTTATACATACCGAAAAGTTTAAGGCAGTTATTTCGCTGCCATCATATCGTCCAATTAGCTCAAGTGACAAAACGAAGATAAAACAAGTAAGGAAGGGCTAAGTTCGGGTGTCACCGAACATTTTATACTCTCGCATGATAAAGTGATAATCGAGATTTCACTATACGTCATTTACATATTTTTTTATTTTGCTGTAAATTTATTAGATTAGATCAATTTGTGTACTTTGAGTATTGAATTGTATTT